TTGGGCTTACCCATGCTTGGCGCCGGCGTAGTCTGCGGAGGGAGGGGGAGGAGGGCGCGCGGGTCGTCAGCCGAGGGAAGGATGGGAGCTTCGTTGGAGGAGAGGAGGGGGATTGAATGGCGCGGGGGGGGGGGAGGAATCGGCGGCGGCGGCCGACGCGCGAGGGGAACGACCGCGCGCGCGACGGCGTCGATGCGATGCGTACCTGCGGCGGTTGCCGAGTGAAGTGACGAGATCGGTGACGCGACGGGCCGTCCGCGCGCTTGCGAGTGGCCGCGTCGGCGACGTCCGAGGTCGTCGCGAATCGATGCATCAGCCCTAAAACCCTTTTGAGAGAATTTCTCGGGGAGATCGGCGCCGTTCATCGCCGATCAACACGCGATTGACCCTCGGTTCTTAGCTTCGATTCCGGATTCATCGCTCGCTGTTGATCGGCGAGAGCTTCGCAGCAGCTCGATTCGAACGAAGCGTCGCATCTCGCGCGCTTCCCACTCGTCCCCGCGCGCGGCGCGGCCGCTCGCGTCGTCATGGCGCAGCGCGAGTCCTTGCTCGTGTCGACCGCGCGCCCGCGCGCGTCGCGTCGCCTCGGCGGCGGCGCGACGACGCGGCGGCGCCGCCTCGCGCGCGTCCTCCGCGGCGAGCGCGGCGTTCTCTTCCTCCTCCTTCTCGGCGTGCTCGCGCTCGTCGCGTCGCACCTCGCCGCCGCGATCCTCCCTCGCGTCCTCGCCGCGTACCGCCCGGGCGTCTGCGTCCCCGGGTCCGGACTCGCGCCGTGCCCGCCCGAGGCGTCGCGCGTTGACGTGGACGTCGTCTCCGTCGCGGCGAAGCCGACGTGCGTGACGCACGTCGCGGTCCTCGCGCTGAACCAGTACGTCAATCCGCGGCGTATCGTGTTCGTGACGTCCTCCGCGTCCAAGTGCGCGACGCTGATCGCGATGGCGTCGAACGTGGAGTGCGTCGCGGAGGACGACATCGTGCCGGGGGTGACCAAAGCCTCCGTGCGCGATGAGCTTCGAAGGCTGCACGGCGACGGCGCGGACGCGGATAAGCTCGGACGGTCTCGATCGGGATGGTACCTCCAGCAGCTCGTCAAGCTCGGCGCCGCGGACGCGATCGAGGGCCTGAGCGACGTCTTCGCGGTGTGGGACAGCGACATGATCCCGCTGTGGCCGACGCGGTTGGTGTCCGAGGGGAGGGTGGGCGCGTCGGGCGCGCGGCGGGTCGTGCGGCAGATTGGCGGGTACGTCATCGGAGGGTACGAGAAGAGTTACGAGACGTTGACGGGGGGGGAGACGTTGTCGTACGCGCCGGACGGGAGCGGGTACGTCGCGCATCACATGGTCATGGAGCGACGGTTCGTGAGGGAGCTCCTGGCGACGTTCGAGAGGTCGTTGACGTTGACGACGAAGGCTGTGGGGGGAGGGGGAGGAGGCGGCGGCGGGGGCGGGGGAGGGGGGGATGGAGAGCGCGGCGGCGGCGGCGGCGGCGGCGGCGGCGGCGGCGGGGGTGAGACTGCTTCCCATACGACCCCGTTCGCGTGGTGCACGCCGTTCCTTAAGGACTTTTCCCGTCGTCACTCTTCACCCGCGCTTCCCTTTCAACGTTTGACCGGTAAGACGTTCGACTGACCGATCGCTTCACCCACGCAGGCGGCGGCGGCGGCTTCCCGCGCTGGGCGTCCGCGATCCTCGCGGCGATCCCCTCCGACGATCTCGACTTGGGCTTCAGCGAGTACGCGTCCTACGCGAGCTTCGTGTCGTCTCGGCACCCGGAGACGGTGGAGACGGCGACGTCGCGGACGTGGAGTCGGCACCCGCTGGGTCCGTTCGTCGGGTCGTTCGCGATTCGCGCGTTTCGGTGGCTCGGCGGAACGGGGTTATGTTGTCCGACCGCGGGGATGGTGCGTCTGATGAAGGTGTTGGGGTATCAGTACGCCGGGTTCGAGATCGGGCACGTCGGGTCGTGCGGTCTGAATGCGCCCGGGCGAGAGGAGAGCTACGGGCTCTGACGACGCGACGACCGCGGCGCGAAGTAGAAGTACATTAAAAAATCGCAATCGAGACGAATCGGAAGTATTACTGTATTACGCCGCCCGTCTCGTCTCGTCTCGTCCACTGTCTCCCTGCGAACACGAAAGAAACGCATAACTTCCGAGCGTTATCTTCACGCACGCCCTTCATTTCATGAAGCGCGGTCTTCGTTGTCGACCTTGAAGATGCGCAACCGACCGTCGATCCCGCCGGACACGACGCGGTTCGGGCCGTGGTAATCCACGCACAGCGCGCGCGCCGTGTGCGGTTTCCCCGGGTGCGCCTTCACCGTGTGCAGCGGGAGTTTCCCGCGAATGTCCCACAGCTTGACGTTGCCGTCGTACGCCGTGGACGCGAGCTGGTACTCGCTCCCGGGGCACCACGCGACGCTGACGACCATCTCCTGCTCGTTGAAAACGGAACGGAAGGCGTTCAGCGAAAGCCGCGGGGGAAATAAAAAGAAAACGGAACGGAAAAAAAAAGTCGACGCGACGAGAACGAACCGCGCGCGCGAGCGAACGTCTCGGGAAAAAATTAGAGATTTGTTCCTCCATCGAATCGCTTCGTCGGGAAACGGTGTGTGTCATCGTCACCGACGTTCGCTCGCGCGCGTGGTCCATCCGAGCGGGCTTTCGCTTCGGCCGAGAGAAGAGAGAAACGAACCGAATCGAGACGAAAAAAAACCCGAGACCCACCGTGTGAGACGCCAAGCTCGTCGTCGCGCCCGTCGCGTTCCCGACGCGCGGATCCCAAAAGTGCACCATCCTGTCCCCGCCGCCACACCACGCGAGCATCCCTCCCCCGGCCCTGACGGCCAGCCCCATGACGCACTTCGGCGCGGCATACGTCTGCACGCACGTCCCCGCGTCCGCGTCGAACGACTTCAACGAGTGATCCATGCTGCCCGTCCAGACGACGTCCACGCTCTCCCACGCGACGGCGGTGACCGCGTCCGTGTGCCCTCTCAGGACGACGACACCCGCGGGGAGCTCCTCCTCCTCCTCCTCCTCCTCCTCCGCCGGCTTCTTCTTCGCGTCGTTCGGGTCCGGAATCCCGAGCGCCTCGAACACGGACCGCTCCAGCGGGCGAACGTCCGGGACCGCGTCCTCGCCGTCGCCGTCTTTTCCCTTAGGGTCGAGGGTCCATACAAAGCGATGTCGGGGTGGAGTTCAAAGGCGTCAGAAGCGGAGTGGGGGAAAGGCGTCGAGGGCGGGGATCGAAAGCGAGGGGTGGGCGGAGAGACACGCCGGGAAGTAAAGTCCTCAAGGATCGTCGTTCACCACGCCGACGCGGTCGTATGGGGACCAGTGTGAGATAGAACGCACCTTGCGTCGCTTCGAGCTGCTCGGCGCGGTCGCTTTCCACTCCGCGGCGCGCGCTTCCCTCGCCGCCTCGATCTCGTCGTCGTGGGTCTTCGCGTCCGCGCCGACGGTTCGCGCCCACACGCGCGCCGTCTTGTCGTACGACCCCGACGCGAAGCACACGCCGTCCGGGGACGCGGCGACCGAGGTGATCGTCCCCTCGTGCCCCACGAACACCCGCGACGACCCGACGTGCTTCGCGGAGTCTCCCTTGGCGTCGACGACGACGTCCCACGCGCGCACGACGCAATCGTGCCCGCCGCTGACGACGACGCAGCCGTTACCGTCGTCCTCCGTCGGCGGAAGCAGCGTCACCGCGACGACGGGCTGGGCGTGGCCGTCGAGCGTGACGAGATGCTTTCCTTTCGGCGAGTAGAGTCGCGTCGTGCCGTCGTAGGACGCCGTCGCGATCGCGCCGCCCCAGGACCCGCACACGCCGGCGACCCAGTCGTCGTGTTTCCCGGTCGCCTCCTCGCTGGGCGGACCGACCGCGGGGATGTACTCGACCTCGAGCGTGCTCTCCGCGGAGACGCCCTTGCGGAGGAGGAGTTTCTCGAGCGACGTGCGCACGAGCTCGCCGTCGACGAGGAAGTCGAACGGCTTCGGCGGGTCTGCGATCGACGCGCGAGGGGTTGGGGGTTAGGGTTGGGGGGTTAGGGTTGGGGGGTTAGGGTTAGGGTTAGGGTTAGGCCGGCGGCGCGCGAGGGGGACGCGCGAGCGGCGAAGACGGGACGGAGGAGGAACGAGGACGATCGATCGATTCGATCCTCGATGGATGTGATGGATCCAGAGTGCTCGGCGCATCACGCACCGAGCGCGAGGAGGTGGTTGATGACCTCGGAGAGCCCGTAGCGCGTGAGCTTCCCCGGGACCGCGAACGGCGTCGGGGAGATTCGGTACTTCTCCGGCAGGCGCGTCACGAACTTGCACGTGATCTGCGTCTCCTCGCCGGTGGAACCCATGTTCTTCGAAGACGCGCGCGCCTCGTCGGCGGCGTTGCGAGAAGGAGGATTCGCCGATGGGAATCCCGCCGCGCGCCGCTCCACCTTCGCGCGGACTGGGACGACGCGGAAGACGGGAGCCGAGCCTTCCCGAGACGGACGGTGAGCGCGGTTCACGCGCGATGCGGCGTCGAGAGAGAGAGCGGCGGCGCGCGCGGAGGACGCGAGTGACGGCGAGTGATGACGGCGCGCCAGGCCTTCTCGTCATCGAGAGTTCGACCGACCGCGCGCCAGCTTGCATTTCTTGATTAGGCACAAGAGTGCCCAACGCGACGCGCACATCGCCGCGCGCGGACGCGTCGTCGTCGTCGCCGCGATGCTCTCTCGAACGACCGGGCGGACGTCCACGTCATCGAACAGCGCGTACGGGCAGTTCTACAACGGCGGCGTCACGCTCCCGCGCGACGCCGGCGTCGACGACAGAGGTGGGGGCGGGGGGACGTACGCGTCGAGATCCGACGCGCGCGTCGGCGCGGACGTCGCGAACGGCGCGTCGCGCGCGTCGCGCGCGAGCTCGCTCGGCGCGCACCGCGAGCGCGGCGAGCTCCGGAACGTCGTCGTCGCGGACGACCTGTCGCGAGGGACGAACCTCGGCGCGCGAGGCGCGATGAGCCGCGACGGGCGCACGCTCGTCGGCGCGGGGTTGGGCGGAGGCGTCGGCGGGTCGCCGCGCGCGCATCCGGAGCGCATTCACGCGGTGCTCGGCGCGGGGGGGGGGCGGCGATCGCGCGGGGGGCTCGATCCGCGCGATCCGAGCGACCCGTCGAGCGCGAACGGGTGGAGTAAGGGGTTTCACGGGACGACGCCGCGGACGCTGGATCCGAGCCAGGGCGGTCCGCAGTCAGGGGGTGGAGGAGGACTTTCGTCTTCGTCGTCGCGATCGAACGCCGCGGCGGCGGGGAAGTCTTCCGCGAAGCCCACAAACACGACGTCGGGCACGGGGAAGCCGTTGATCGTGGCGAGCCACCCGGGCGCGGTCTCCGCCGCGGGCGCGAAGGGGCTCAACGGCGGCCGCCTCTCCGGCGGTCCCGGCGGCGGTCCGAACGCGAACGCGACGACGACGAATAATCCGCTTCGAAAATCCTTCGACGCGGGCGTGACGATGACGGGCCCCAAAGGCGCGCAGATCGAACGTCCGAGCACGTACGCCAGCGGCGTGAACCACGGGACGACGCGCGCGGCGGGGTACCTTCCGCAGTCGCACCAGAGCAAGAAGACGGCGAAAACGCACGAGGGCGGAGCGTTACAAAGAGGCCCGCCGCCCAAGGCGAAATTTCCATCGGGCGACGCGTCGGCGGCGTCGCGGTCGCCCGGATTCGGCTCGATGACGATCCCGCGCGCCGGCGCGCACGTCCCGGTCCCGACGTTCCGCGGAGACGCCGCGAGCGCGAGCCCGCTGAGCCCGCTGTCGCCGAGCGCGCGCGAGGGCGTGAGCACGCGACGCAACGGCGGCGCGACGCGGATTCCGTTCGGAGCGCACTCCATGGCTGGCGGCACCAACGGGTTCAGCAAAGAAAACCAGGATGATCACTTCGTGCTCGGGACCGGCGGCGGCGTCTCCGGCGACCGCGATTTCATCGCCGCGGTCCTCGACGGCCACGGCGTGGACGGCCGCAAGGTGTCGCATTTCGTTCGCGCGCGTCTGCGCAGCGAGCTGGAGCCGCGCGCGGGCGTGGCGACGGCGGCAGGCAAGGCCAAGGCGCGCGCCGCCGCCGCGCGCGTCTCCGCCTCCTCCGGCGCCGTCGGCGACGCGTACGCCGCCGCCGCCGCCGTCGGCGTCGGCGCGTCGTCGCCGGACAACTCCTCCCTGCCCCCCACGCGGTTTAACAGCGGCGCGGACGTCGAGCGCGCCGCGGAGACGAGCAAGCGATTGACGGAGGCGTTTCGCGCCGCGCAGGCGGCGCTCGTGAAGAACAACGGCATCAACAGCGCCGAGAGCGGGTCCACCGCGGTGACGTGCGCGCGCGACGGCGACGTCCTCACCGTCGCGAACGTCGGCGACTCGCGCTGCGTCCTCGCGCGCGAGGCGCAGCCGCCGCTGACGTACGCGACGGATCCTCTGGGCGCGGCGAAGAAGACGCCGCTCGTCGCCGTCGATCTCTCGTCGGGCGCGTCCCACACACTGGTCCCCATACGACCGCGTTCGCGTGGTGAACGCCGATCCTCAAGGACTTTTCTTCCTGGCGGCGCATCTCTCCGCCCAGGGTCCCTCGCTTTCAATCCCGACGCACACACCTCGACGCCTTTCAACTCCGCTTCTGACGCCTTTCAACTCCACCCCGCAGATCACAAGCCGAACCGGCCGGACGAGGAGGCGCGGGTGACGCGCGCCAACGGCGTCGTCGAGCCCGCGCGGTCGCCGCTCGGGGGGTTTGTCGGCCCGCACCGCGTGTGGAAGAAGCACCCGCGGACCGGCGGGCTCGCGGTGTCGAGGGCGTTCGGGGACACCGCGCTGAGCGGCGCGGGGGTGATCGCGGAGCCGGAGCTCTTCACCGAGCGCGTGACGCGACGCGATAAGTTCGTCGTGCTCGCGTCGGACGGCGTGTGGGACCACGTGGACAGCCAGGAGGCGGTCGAGCTCGCGGGCGCGTGCTTCGAGTCCGGGGCGGCGGCGGCGGCGGGGGCGGGGCACGGCGGCGCGGCGCAGCGCGCGGCGGATGCGATCGTCGCGCGCGCGTGCGAGCGATGGAAGCGGGCGATGAATGGAGGGTACCGGGACGACATCACGTGCGTCGTCGTGCCGCTGTTGGGGTGGGAGTGAGGTGGTGGGTGTAACGCACGGGGGTTGGGCGTTTCGAGGAAGTACGTGTAGTCTTGTTGTCGTCGCGAAGTATTGTACGAGTACGCGCGTCGTCGTCGTCGCTGCTAACGTCGTTCGTCTGCTGATACTCGTATCATCATCCTCCGTCACGAGTTCCAGTCTCTCACGCGCTCGGCGTCGCGTCCGCGATCGGGGACGGACGTCGCGCGCGCCTGCTTCTGCGACTTGTGCGCGGCTTTCCCGACCGCGCTCCGGTCGAACTTGCTCTGGCGCTCCTCCGCGGCGATCGCGGCTTGCTCGCGCGCGAGCGCGTTCTCGCGCCTGTCGGGGAGGGAGAAGGGAGGGAGGGAGGGAGTCGTGAGATGCAGAGACTTTACAGTATTGTTCGCAAACGAGAAGCGTTTGAAGCGTCTTTGCGAGGCGAGGACGCGACGACGAGATCTGCGCGCGGCGGCGGGGGAGCGCGCACCGAATCTCGCTCTCGCGCAGGAGGCGTCCCTCCTCGTCCTCCTCGGGGCAGCAGCACCCGCAGCACTTGCGGAACATGGACCCCATCGGACGCGGGCACCGCGGGCGCGCGCGAGGAAGTGCCGACGGGGGGTTCGGCTAGATCGAGGCTCGCACTGCGGTCTTGTCACGCGACTCTTGTCCAGCTCTTGTCCTTCCGAGGAAAACTAAAACGCTCGGACGTCGCCTCATTTCACTACTCTCATCCGCGCGCCCGCCGCCGCCGCACGCTCAGATCCAAGCCATGCAAAAGCGTTCAACGTCCGACGGATTCAACGACATCCCCGAGAATGTCGCGGCCGTCGTGTTCTCGCACCTCGGGAAGAACCCACGACATCGCATCAGGCTCGCCGCGGTGAGCAAGGTGTGGAGGGATGCTAAGAAGTCTGACTTGTCGTTGCCTGGCGCTCCGAGGGCGTTGTTCGAGCTCGGTGAAGACCTTATCGGGAAGGAGACGAAGGTGTCGTTCCGGAAGGCGTTCTACTGGTACCGAAAGGCCGCGGATCTTGGAGACGCTGACGCCATGTGGATGATCGGAGTCTGCTACCGCAGTGGGTTAGGCGTGAAGAAAGACAAGACGAAGGCGTTCGAGTGGTGGGAAAAAGCGTCCTTATGGTGTTTTCACCGCAAAGCGATCTGCTCTCTCGCGATGTGCTACCAGCGCGGCGACGGCGTGGAGAAAAATAAAGCGATGGCGTTCGAACTGTACCTCAGGGCGGCGGAGCAAGGTTCAGCAGAGGCCGCATAGAGTCTCGGGAGTATCTACGAACGCGGCAAGTGCGGCGTGGCGGCGAACAAAAAGGAGGCGCTGAAGTGGTTTCGCGTCGCGGTGGAGCGCGGCAAACCCGACGCGGAACAGGATGTGGAACTCCTCGAGGCCGAGCTCGCGGCGGAAGCGGCGGCGTGAACGAACGAACGAACGAACGAACGAACGAACGAACGAACGAACGAACGCGTGTACCGTGAGCGAACCTTTGTAACGAACGCACGTCGAACGTCGCCCGCAGCCAGAGTACGTTTTCGCGCTCGCGTGTCTCGAGAAAAACTCGACGGGTGCGGGTGTGAGTTTTTCATCCCCCGTCGAATGGGGGTCGCCCCTCCGCGGGACGCTCAGCGCCGGGACGCGACTGGAACGACCGACGATAAACGCACACGCATACACGATACATTACATCGCGCGCGGCGCGAACGCGCGCCAAGCAGACGCGCGAGCGGTCCGCGGTCGCGACCGACGCCGCGTTCGCCCACCGTCGTGATCTCCCCCCGTCGTGATGCTCCGCGACGAGCGCGCGGTGTTCGCGGAGGTACGCGCGCGGGAGTGGAACGACCTGAGCGGCGACGGCGACGACGCGTCCGTCGTCGACGTAGAAGGCGACGTCGATCATCGGCACAGGTGGTTCCTCCGCGTCGGTCGTCGCCGTTCCGTCTTCTTCCGCGTCCTCGTCGTCGTCTCCTCGCGGCGTTCTTCCTCGCGTCTTCTTCGCGGCGTTCTTCGTATTCTTCTTCGACGCCGCGGAAACCTTCGGGTCGTTCCGTACGAGCGAACGTCGGGGTGGAGTTGAAAGGCGTCAGATGGAGGAGTTGAAAGGCGTCGAGGGCGGGGATTGACCGCAAGGGATGGGCGGAGAGAGACGACGGGCAAAGTCCTTAAGGATCGGCGTTCACCACGCCAACGCGGTCGTACTGTATGGGAACCAGTGTACACGTAGGGCTACTGTATAGCCTATCCGCCAATCGATCGCGGTGGTCAGCGAAGATGACGAGGACGACGACGAGGACGCGCCCCCAGCCTCGCCTTTTGCTGTAGACGCGTTGGACACCCCGTCGTCGCCCGTGGTGTCCCGTGTGCCCGCGACGCCCGCGCTGCTGTCGACGCGAGTTACGCGGGCCGCGCCGAACCACGCGTCTCCATACGAGAACGAGGAGGGGTGGACGATCGTCAAAGGCCGTATGCGGCGGCCTGACCGCGTCGACGACCGACGCGACGGCTGTGAAAAACATGGCGCTACGGTGACAGCCACCGCACCGCGCCGCTCGGCCCGCCTCCTGGCACGCGCTACTCCAGCTACCGACGCACCAGGTGGCCCAAGCGTCGCCGCTCGCCCGCGTGTCGCGTCGCCGCGCGCAGACACGCGAGCGAAGGCGAAGGGTGCGAGAGGCGTGCCCCGCCGTGATGGCTCGGCGGCGCGCTCCCCGGCGGGTCGTGTGGACGTAATTCCGGGCCTAGACGCGAACGCTCGATCGGCCGCGACAGACGCACGAGCCGCGGGTCGCCGCCAAGGCACAGGCTCCGCCCCGACCGCTCGCGTCGCCGCGGTCACGCGAACGAAGGGGAAGGACGTGAGCGGCGCACCCCGTGCCGCCCCCGACCGCGGTGGCTTAGCGGCGCGCTCCCCGCCGGGTCGAGCGGACGCCAGCCCAGCCCTCGGCGCCGACGCGCGTGCGAACGCGCCGGATGCACGAGCCGCGGGTGGCCGCCGTGGCGCCGGCTCCGGCCATGCCGATCGCGTCGCCGCCGCGGGCACGCGAGCGAAGGCGAAGGGCGCAAGGGGCGCGCCCATCTCGTACGCGCTCAGAACCTCACGTGACTCTGAAAACTTCCACGCGGGCGCGGCAGCGCAAATCCTTTTTATGGAGCCCGACACTGCTGGCGATTTCCACATCGCCCCGGCTTCGTGCGCTCGTGAGGCTCACATGGGTTTCATGAATCCCGTCGTGGGGTTGCTTACTACGTGAGAGGATTGTTCGTAGTGCGGTCTGCTCGCTTCTAGATCACATGTTTTACCCGGATGGGTTAGAGCTCAGTCTTTTTGTAATCAGATCTACTACCTTCGTACATAGTTCATGACTAAATACATGTGCCTTTGATGTACGAAGGTACGAAAGTAAAAACTCAAGAGAAAGAAAAAGGGTCCAAATAAGCGCCGCGCGATTTCTCCCCTCACACGCACACGAACGCACCCGCACGCACGGTGAAAACCATTCATCAAGATCATGAGTGTGTTAATAATGGAATCTGTTTCTCCCTTCGCGTGACGAGGTGATTTAGATGTATTTATAGCGGGGACCAGTTTGCTATTATTCGTTTTTTTGGAGGATTTCATGCCCCGAAAAGGGAAGCGGGGACATGGTTGGTGTTCGGATCGTTTGAAGGAATTTGATCGTATCAGGAAGCAGATCGAAAGAATAACTAATGGAGGTGATCGGCGAGAGTTGTTTAGATGCCTCGAGCTCTGTTGTGGGACGAAATCTTTCTTGAGAGCGGTACGACGACGATTCACTAAATCTCGTTGCGTCACCGTGGACGTGAATCCGAAGTTCGCAGCCGATGTCATTGTTGATGTCATAAATTGGATAGCTGAGCACCGGCAAGGATGGTTTGACGTGATCTGGATCAGCCCCCCATGCAAAGAATACTCGAACTCGAAGACCGTTGGTGTGCGCGATATAAAGGGTGCGGATGCTGTGGCGATGTCGTGCTTGGTGCATCTCGAGGCCTTATCCCACAGGTCTGGCTGGATCCAACGCCGCGTCCCACTCCGGCGCGAGCGGCGGGAAGACGTGGAGCGCGGGCGCGGGCGCGGGCGCGGGCGGCGAACGCGGAGACGGGAGGGAAGGAGAAGCAGAAGCTCGGGTTTCTTCAGAAGTACTACCACAAGGGGGCGTTTTTCCAGGAAGCCGCGGACGATCCGGCGAGCTCGATGGGGACGGACGACATCTACAAGCGCGACTTCAACCAGGCCACGGGCGCGGACAAGGTGGACAAGAGCGCGCTGCCGAAGGCGATGCAGGTCAGGGGCGACGCGTTCGGGAAGATTGGACGGACGAAGTGGACGCACCTCAGCGCGGAGGACACGACGTTCGCGGGCGGGGACAACGTGTGGGCGGACGCGCGGAACAAGAGGGTGGGCGAACTGGCGGAGAAGGGCGCGGGGCGGAAGCAGGAGTTTCAAAAGCTTTCGGCGGTTCGTCTTCGGATCGCTCTTTAAATCGCATCGCATCGTGCGTGCGCGCTCGCATGCTTCGTCGTTCTCCGCGCGTTGTTCACTCACCCCCCCCTCACCACCCACCCGCTCCCGCCGCGAACGCCATCGTCTCCCAAGGCACTCAACGAAGGAGGTGCGCGCACGCGCCGTACGCCTTGTTCGCCGCGCGCGCGAACTTCTCCGCGTGCGCGACGGAGCAGTCGCCGTTGTCCTCGAGATCGATCATCAACGACACATGCTCGCCGCACGACGCGCTGCGGTGCTTGTAATCACCGCGAGACAGCGCTTTCGTCATTACGTACATATCTCCGACGGCGCTCTGCGGCGCGAACTTGAGCACGTCGAACTTCTTCCCAATGGCGTGCACGTAAATCCCGCACGTGCAGCTCACCTCCGCGTACAACATCACTTTAAGGCGACAGGCGTACGACTTCTTGTCCTCGTGCGTTGCCGAGGTTGATCCCGTAGACAGCCCTAACTCGGTGTGATCGTCGAGAACGTCGGCGGCGCGGGCGCGGGCGACGGCGTCCACGGCGGATTGAAGGGAATTTCTCTTGTTCGTGAGCGTTTTATCCTCGCCCCCCTCCGCGAGCGTCTTCAGTATGACCGCCTTCTTCTCCAAGACACGCACCTCCGCGAGCATCACACCGAGCTTCTTGCGGGCAATAGGACCGGCCGGCGTCAGAGACGACGCGGGCGACGAGAGGCCGTTGGTACCGGACGCGACCCCCGCGCCGGACGCGCCGGACGCGACCCCCGCGCCGGACGCGATCCCCGCGCCGGCGGCGGCGGAGACACTCACCCCCTCGTCGACGACGGCCTTGACGACGGCCTTGGCCTCTTCGAGACCGGCGATCAACGACGCGCGGGCGTCGTCGGAAAGTCCCGCGTCGCTGGTGTTGATCACGTCTCCGACGGCGGCGAGGAAGTTTGTCGTGTCCGCGATGAACTCGTTGTTGAGGAGCTTGATCTCGTCGAGGCGGTTACCCGCGGCGTCATCGCATACGCGGCGTGCTTCGCGAAAGGTAGTCACAGTGCGAGTCAGAGCCCAAGACACATCGACCCGGAGTCGATCCGCCGCCGCGCAGCCGAACAAGATGTACGTGTTCGACGAGATCTGCCAGCCTTCGTCCGCGAGCTTGCTGCAAAACCCCGCGATGAAGACGTTTAACTTCTCGGCACCGTCCTCCGTGGGCGGATCGAGACCGTAGCATTCTCGCTGCACGGCGAAGACACCGGAAGGCGTCTTCCCGTCCTTTTTTGTCATCAAGGGTATCCAAGACCCGCTTTCGTCCTCAACAAGGGTGACGTTCCGCCGAAAGCGTTCATCTCCGCCTACGCCCCTTTGAGCCATGAGTTGGTCACCGAATCCGGCGAGCGACTTCGGCGGGGTGGCGGCCTTCGCGTGATCGACGCGGACGATCGCCGCGGTCGTGTCCGATCCCGCGCCGCTCGGGCGAATCACGCGCACGCTCGGGGTCGGAACGATGTTCTCCTTGTTCGAGTCCGCGTCCGCGCGCGTGGCGCTCGTGGTTTTCGCCGTCGCTGCGGACTCCGCGGACCGAACGCCGCCGACGTTCGAGACCACAGTCGCGAGCGAAGAAGGCGCGAGCGAAGAAGGCGCGAGCGAAGAAGGCGCGAGCGCCGCCTTCGCCGCGGCCACAATCTCCCTCAGTTCGTTGGCTCGCCGCGCGTCGTCCTGCTTCTTCTTCTTCTCCTTGGACCCCGGCGCGGCCGCCCGCGCGTCGTCCCGCTTCTTCTGCTTCTCCTTGGACCCCGGCTCGGCTCGATACGCGGTGTCCTGCTTCTTCTTCTTCTCCTTGAACTCCGGCTCGGCCATCCGCACTATGTGAAGCGCGGCGAGACGCTCCTTCTCCTTCTCCTTGTACTCCGGCGCGGCCGCCCGCACCCTGCTCCAGCACGCGTTGCACAGCGTCCTCGGTCCGGCCGGACCAGGCCTCCACTGCGGCGTCTTTTGCCTCCGGCAGTTAAAGCACACCTTACCGGCGCACGGCGCGAGGTCGCCGTCGCCGCTCGGGTCGAGCGGGGGGATCGCCGCCGCCGCCCTCGCGCCGTCATCGGCGGACTGAGAGGACGGCGGCGCCGCCGCGGTCGATACGGGCGAGTCGTTCGAGTCCGCGACGGCGTCGTCGTCGCCGTCGCCGGACTGAACCACAGCGTCTCTCTCGCCGAGGGGGGCGCTCGCGCGCGCGAGAGGGACGTCGTCAGAGCTCCGGACGGCGCCGCCGCCGCCGCTCGTGGTCCCTTTGGTTGCGATACGCGGTTGGGGGCGGCGACGCTTCATCGCGGACGAGCACTCGGTCCGCGCGCGCGCGCGTCGCCGCCGCGCCGTCGACTAAAACCCGTACAGCTGGACGACTCTTTCCGGAGAAGGAGTTCAGATTTCAGAGTAGTAGACAAGGAAAATGCATACAAAAAAACCCATAGAGTACGAGTACGTTCGGCGGATTCTTCGCGAGCCGGCCAGTGTCGCGCGCGTCTCAGTGCAGCTGCAGCAGCGCAGCCACGTGGCTCACACGCATCCCGCGCGCGCGCCCCCCACGGCGACGATGCCGGCCTCCTTCCTTCGACGCGCGGCGCTCCTGGCTTCGCGCGACGCGACGACGCTCGCGCGGAGCGCGACGAGCGCGTCCTCCGTCGCGTCCGCGTCCGCGCCGCGCCTCCGCCGCGCGCCGCGTCTCTCGCGCGCGACGTCGTCGACCACGACCTCGACCTCGGCGTCGTCGTCGTCGACGACCGCGGTCGACGCGACGTCGCCGCCGCCGCCGCCGCTGTACACGCGCACGCACGAGATCTTGCGCCCGGAGTCGGTCTCGTCGGACGGCTCAGAGATCACGATGACCGTCGGCCTGACCGAGCACGCGTTCGACATCATCGGCGACGTGCGAGCGGTCGAGGCGGTGGACGCGGAGGAGGCGGACGGATGGCGTCGTCGTCGTCGTCATCATCATCACGCGGCGGGGAGGTGAGACTGCTTCCCATACGACCCCGTTCGCGTGGTGAACGCCGTTCCTTAAGGACTTTTCCCGTCATCACTCTTCACCCGCGCTTCCCTTTCAACGTTTGACCGGTAAGACATTCGACTGACCGATCGCTTCACCCACGCAGGCGGCAGCCGAATCACGCGGCGGCGGCGGCGGGTCCGTCCTCCACGCTCCTCGCGCGGCTGCACTGGGAAGGATTCAAACGCACGGCGTCGGACGAGCTGTACCACGCGTCGTGGGCGAACGTCTCGGACGTGCGCGACGTCGCCGTGCCGTTCCCGGCGACGCTCGTGGGACTCAACGCGGCGGCGGTGGGCGAGCCGTACGAGGCGCGTTCTGTCATCTCACGCCGGTCCCCGCGCGACCGCGTCGGCGCGGCGCGCGCCGTTCCTTGAGGACTTTTCTTCCCGGCGCATCTCTCCGCTCGCCCCTCGCTTTCAATCCCGACGCACCTCGACGTCTTTCAACTGCAACTGACGCGCCTTTCAACGCCTCCCCGATGTCGCCTCGTATGGGCAACGACCCTCAGACGATCTCCTCAGCGGAGAGCGGCTGGGTCGCGCGCGTGACGGCGTCGAGAGACGCGATGCGACGCGCGGGGAGCGACGCGCTGATGAGCGCGCGGGCGTACGAGGAGATGGTCGAGGAGCAGCTCGTGGAGGACGAGGCGGAGGCGAGCCGGTCGTATCCGTGACGGGATGGGATGGACGACGGACGCCCCGCGGCGGTTTGGTTTCGGAGGAGTACGATACGTTTCGTCGACGTCGACCGCTTCCGATGATAAATTATTAACTCAACGCGCCGCGACGCCCTCGCCGCGCCTCCCCCTCTCGTCGTCGCTCCCTCGCGTGCCTACCTCACTTCTTCGCGTCGCCCCCCCCACCGCCGTTTTCCTTCGCCAGCGACTCTATCAGCGACCGCGGCGGCGCGTACGTTTCCAACTTATCCAGAAGCTCCGCGGGCGTGTCCCCGACGACGACGATGGCTCGCGCCTCGCGTCGAATGAACCCGCGCGCCGTCGACTCGTCCAGAAACTTCAGGAACAGGTCGAAGTACCCGGCGACGTTCAGCACCCCCACGGGCTTCGCGTGATACCCCAGCTGCTGCCACGTGATCATCTCGCGCGCGCGGTTCGTTGAGGGAACGAACGCGGACGCCGGGGCGACGGCGCGCGCGCGGGATCGATCGCGGCGGCGACGGCGAACGCGGCGCCGGCGTTCGATCGATCCCGAGGGCGCGGCGAGCGATCCTCGGTCCTCGCGACGTTCGTTCCTGACCTCACCCCAGTCTCATCAGCGTCACCGGCTCTGGCGGTGCGACGACTGCCGGTGCTTGTGCGTGTCCGACGCGCGCACGCGGCCGCTCTGGGACGCTCGCATCTTTTCGGACTCGCGTCGCATGCGGTCGTACTCCTCCGCGGTGATCCTGTGGACGCGGGGGAGGGGGGACGGGCGAGGTCAGTCGAAGGCGTCGGGGTGTTGAGAACGAATGGGAAAGTTAAATCTCGAGAGGGCGCGAGCGCGCGCGCGCGCGCGCCCGGCCGGCGGGATCGGGGCACGCACACTTCGTCGTCCTCGTCGTCCATGCCTTCCGGCTGGCAGCAGTTTTTCGTCAGCGCTTGACCCATCGCGTCGGGCGCGTCGTGCGGTGCGGAGTGAGGAGACGCCGCAGACGTCGCGCGCGTCTTTTCGCGAGCGTCGTCGCGGTCGGCTGCTCGCGCCAGTCGGCTGACGCGATGACGAGTCTCATCAGAGCCACGCCGCGCGTACCCCCGCGCGCGAGCGTCGCGATGTCGTCGTCGGCCCACGTCACGCTCTCCCCGAGCCTCGCGCGCGCGTCGTCGTCGTCGTCGTCGCACGCCTCCCGCGCGACGTCCGCGCGCTCCCGCGCCGCGTCCGTCGTCCGCGCGGCGACGTCGTCGTCGTCGACGTCGTCGTCGTCACCGGAATACAACATCGACGACGACGAAATCGCACCGCTCCGATCGCGACGACGCACGGTCTTGACAACGCTGTCCTCCCTCGCGCTCGCGTCGTCGCCCCTCCTCGCGCGCCCGTCTCCATCGCGCGCGGACGAGAGCGGGCCGTTCTGCGACTACACGCAGACGCTCCCGTGCGACGAGTACCCCAAGTACGAGCGCACGGCATCGGGGTTGCTCTTCCAGGATCTGCGCTACGGCGAGGGCGACGCCGTCGCGCCGGGGCGTCGCGTCGTCGTGGACTGGGACGGCTACACGTTCTACCTCTCGCACGTCCTGCAGGCTCGGAACTTGCCCAAGGGGGGCGACTTCGAGCAGAACGACGACGCGTTCTTGTCGTTTATCCCGGGAGACGGCACGGTCATTCCCGCGTTCGACGAGTGCGTCAAAGACATGCGCGTCGGCGGCATCCGACGGTTCATCGTCCGCCCCGGTCCGCTGTCGTACCCCGGGGTGCTCAAAGGGAACTGGAAGGAGGGTAAGGACGGCGTGGGCCCGGTCCCGGCGTCGTTGTCGGGGAAGCGCGCGCTGGAGTTTGTGAACAGGAACACGGCCAACGTTGACAAGAGTCTGCTCTTCGACGTGGAGATTCTCGGCGTGGAGGGCGAAGACGGTCGAATGACGCGAGGGTTCAGACGAGGACCGGGGAGGTGGGCGGAGGGGGTGAAGCAGCGGTTGTCGTAGCCGTCGTGACGCGACGCGCGAGCGACGTGTCGTCTCGTTCTGTGTTCCGCGTCGTAGTGTTGTGATGGTATACGAGCGACCTCGACTGATACAATCTGATCGTCCCTTCTAGTCTCTAGTAGTGTAGTCTCTCTCGTAGTGCTACCTAAGGTGTAGTGGTACAGACGCGCCCCCCCCCCTCCCCCCGGAGAGGCTCGTCGAATCTTTCGTTTGGTCGCCTCGCCTCGCCAACTTAGCCTTATTACCAAAACGGACACCAGCCGATGTACGACTGGCACAAGTTCTCGTGCGACGTCGCGGCGACGATGAGGCGCTGAACCTGCGCCTCGACGCCGTCCGGCGTCCCGTTCTCGACGTCGTCGTGCTTTGAACCGCTCAGCCCCGGCGTCGTCGACGCGCCGTGGCTCCCCCCCGCGCTCGCCGACATCGCCATCGCCGCGCTCGACGCGAACCCGTCCCTCCCCGTGAGCTTGTGCGACATGCGACGCATGACGTTCACCGCGCGGTCGTTCAAAACCTCGTTCGTGTCGACGTCCAAGCCTTCGATGGCGTCCAGCGCGGTGACCCTGTGGCGCTGCAGCGCGGACGCCGCGGCGTAGTTCGCAGCCTCTTGCTCCGCGACCGCGGCGACTTGCTCCGCGTTTAGGGTTTCCGGGATCGGCACCTCCCCGGGCGCGGGCGTCGTCGGCGTGGGCGTGAACCGCCGCGCGGGCGCGACGTACGGCCCGGGGGAGGTTCGATCGCGCGCGCCGCCGGCGGTGGCGCCGGGGTCGTACCCTCCCGCCGCGGGCACGGGAGCGGACAGCGGCGGCATCGCGTGCGCGTGCGCACCGCCTTCGCCGGGCCCCATCCCCGGGCTCTCGCGTCGTTCTTGGCCGACCGGCGGCGGCGTCCGCGGCAGCGGGGGCGGCGGCGCCGGCGCGGGCGCGCCCTCGGGAACGGGCGGCATCGTCGGCGCGTGCTGATGCTTCGGCGGGCTCGCGCTTCTTCGCCCGCCGCCGCCGCCGCCGTCGCTCCCTTCGACGCCGCCGCCGACGGCCGCGGCCGGGGACGTCTTCCCGTCGCTCCCGCCCGGCGACGGCGTCCTCCGGTCCTTGTTGTTCAATCCCGGCGTCGTCGTCGGCGTCGGCGCGCCCGAGCTGCCGCCGCCTTCTTGGTGCACGACGCTCACGGCCATCACCGCCGCGCCCGGCTGTTGGTTCACGTTCTCCCCCGGCGCGGTCGTGTTCAGAAGACGCCAGTTGATGAGCGGGTCGTGCACGAACGCCTCGAGCATCGCCATGACGGAGTCTTTGTTCCCGCGGAGGACGGCCATGACGCCCTCGCACGTGCTGCGAAAGTTGCCCTCGATGCCGCTTACTTCCATCGCGCGCACGAGCATTCGCGTCAGGCGGAACGGCACGCGCTCGGGGAACTTCTCGCGCTGCATCGACGCTTCGAAGCAATCGCCAAAGTCGATGTGAAGAATCTTGCCGGAGTAGCGATCCAGCGTGAGATTCGACGGGTGGCGATCGCCGAGGCCGAGGAGATAGCCGACCATGGACATCACCGCGAGCGAGCGCGTGTACGTCGTTCGGCGGTCGAGCCAGACTTCGCTGCTGCGGGATTTGAGCCACAAGACGCGCGCGAGGTCGTTCCCGGGGGTGTTCTCGAGCGCGTGCTCGAAGACTTCGACCTGGATGGACGAGAGAGGGCAGGGCAGGGCAGGGAAGGGCGAGGAGAGAGAGGTGAGCGACCGCGCGCGATGCGAAAGAAAAGTGGTCAAAAAATAAACGCGAGCGGTTCGACGCGCTCTCGCCCGTCGTCGCGTGTTACGTTGCTCAGTCCCTTAGATGTTCAATCCGCCCTCACTGGCGCCGCGGCGGTAAGCCGCGGCGAGTCAGTTCGTGTGTGTAAATATCATCATCGCAACGGTCGTATGATAACACGCGAGCGACGACGAAGGAAGGCTCGGCCGAACGCAAAAAAAACGAAAACCAAAAGCCAAAAAAAAGTTTTCAAAATCCGCGCGACTCGCCTTGTTCACGAGCGGCAGGTGGTCGTAATCCGGCGCCATCGCGAGCATGAGCCGATGCTCCAAGTTCAGCGGCACCTTGTGCGCGTCCCTGTGCTCGCGTATCAGCGCGTGTAGCGTGTCGCAGTTGGGAACCCAACCGATTAAACCGCTGTTCGGCGACAGCGGCACGACGGCGTATCGCGCGATGCTCAAATCTCTCCGCGCCGTCGACGGCGTCGAGTTTAGCAACATGTTCACGAGCCCGAACAGCTGCATGACGCGCTCGTCCTGGCGCAAATCCTCGTGGCCTTTCAGGAGGTAGCCGTAGTCCTTGCCGTCGCTGCCGTGGATGTGAAGTCGTCGCGGGCGTTGCTTGGAGGTGATGACGTGCATCGTCGGCGCGAACGCGGCGATGGTGACGGATCCGCCCGGGACGCCCGGCATGTAATTGCCCGGCACGCAGAGCTCCAAACCTCGCGCGTTCAGCAGACGCGGGGAGACGTGCTGCAGCTCCAGCGTCGTCAACGTCGGGAGCTGCTTGTTGATGCGCTTGAAGACGTGGTAGTACAGATCCCAGGCTTGATTTAGCTCCTCCTCGCGGCCGGTTTGGCAATATTTCCGACACCAGTCGTGCGCCTCTTGAAGCTCTCTTCCGTACGCTTGCACGAACGAAATCTCGTGTAGCGTCTCCGCGCCCATGCGCTCGATGATGTGATGCAACGGCGCGAGCACGCGAAGCATTCCCACGACGTTTTGCTCGCCGAAATACAGCTGCGACGCCTCCTCGAGCGCCTCGTGCCACGCCTCGTGCCACAAGATCGCGACGCGAATCAACTCCAACGACACAACCTGCGCCTGCTCCACGAGCAACGCGCTGTGCTGCCGCAAGTTATCGAGCACCGCCATCGCGGCGGACCGTCGCGAGCTGCTCTGCGACTTGCACGCGACGAGAAGCGGGTACAAGAGCGCCTGCGGGTGCTTCCGGCCGACCCTCACGAGGAGCTGGTGGATGAGCTGTCGCACCGGCGACGAGTTGCTGTGAATCCTCGCGACGATCTGGGGAATCACCTGCAACCACGTGTCGATGTTCACGTGCCCGAACCCGTCCACGAGCGCAGCCTCCACCTCGGGGGCGACGCCGTGGTTAAACCACAGCGTGAGCAAGCGCAGGATGTCCTGAAGCGGGCCGCCTTTGCCCTTTTGTTTCGTCGTGCCTCCGAGCGCGATGGATCGAAAGAAGCCGGTGATGGCCGGCGCCACGTGTCTCGCCGACGTCTCCGGCGCGTGCTTCGCGTGGTGCTCCATCGCCGCGGCGTTGAACAGCGCCCAGTGATGCCACGCCTTGGCCCACGGCGCGCACGCGTCCGTCGCGGTTCGGAACGCGGTGAGGACGTCGTTGAGCGTGGCGTCGTCCATGTCCTCGGCGAGGGACCACCGCATCTGGCCGAGTTTGAGAAACGCGCGCGCGATGAGTTTGCAGTCGGGGGGGGCGACCTGCCCGACCGACGCCGCCGCGCTCATCGTCCTGTTTCGTTCGGGTGGGGGGGGGTGGCGGCGGGAGGCGATGAGATCAGACGCGCGGGGTGGAGCGACGGCGGGCGGCGGGCGAGGCGGCGCGGGGACCGATCTACAGACCGAAAACGAAAACGAAAACGAAAATTAAATCGCCGCGGGCGCCGTCGCGGCGAGTCAGTGTAACTATGACATAATACTCTCAGCGAGCGTGTGGCTGGATGAGACACGAATGTCACCAGCCGCTCGGTCAAGTTATTTGGTGTTGGCATCATCCTCAGCGACGGCGGGCGGCGTTCGAACGGCGAAAAAAATAAAAGCAAAGAGAAGAGAGGGGGAGGGAGGCGAGGCGGCCAAAAAAAAAACGCAATCGCAATCGCACCTCAGCTCCGCGGCCAAAGACTGCAACCGGCCGAACGCGTCGCGTCGATGCCCCAGCGCCCACTGATGCTTCACGTACGCGAGCATCACCTCCGGTCGTCCACTCCCTGCGCCGTACCCCGGCGCGTTCACCTGACACTGCGCGGGGTCGTACGCGAGCAGTCGGATCAGCGTCCGGTGCGCCTGTCGCGTCCGCCCGGCTTTGCGATTCAACGACGCGAACTTGAGCCACGTCGGCGTCTCCTCCGCGATGGGCAACACGAGCGATCGCACCGCGAGAAGCGCCTGCCACACCTCGACGTTCCGTTGCACGCCGTAGATGCGCTCGCGCCACATCTTGCGCATCAGATCGCGCCTCACTGCCACGTCAGCGTCCGACATGGAAGGGTCCGACGGCGACCGGCCCGCGCCCGAGCCGCGCGCGTTGGCGGCGGCAATTTTCCCCAGCTCCGCGTATTCGATCACCTCCTCCAGCTCCGTGAGCTGCTGCACGCGGATCATGCCGCCGTAGGACCGGTCGTAGGACTCCGTGACGAGCGCCGCGAGTTCCGCGCCGAGGGCGTCGCGCGCGGCCGCGATGTGCGCGCGCGCTTCCTCGGTCTCGCCGCGGTGCACGGCGAGGACGGCTTTGAAAAAGTCGGCATCCGTCGCGAGCCCCGTCGTCGTCGACTCCAACGAGTCGGGATCGGGACCGCCGCCCGGACCGCCGCTATGGCCGCCGGTCAGCGCGCGCGCGCCGCTACCGATGAGACTCAGCGAGCTACGATGCCGTCCTCCGGACGGGATCACGCTGGAGCTTCGCGCGTGCCCTCCCGCGAGCGATCCGCGGGGCTTCCCGCCGCCGCCGCCGCCGCCCGCGCGGTCGCCGCGTTGCGCGGATACCACCTCCGAGTATTGCTCCATGCGCGACCAATCCCCGAGCTGCCACGCCGCCTGCGTCGCGAGCGGCGCCATTCGTCCTCGCAGCACCGCGTCGCCGCCGACGCCGACGCCGCCCGCGCCGGGGGCGCCGCTGCCGGCGCTGAGCTCCCACTCCTTGGCGCACAAAACGCCCAGCGCGTCCCACTCGGCGAGCGCGGCGAGGCACCGCATCTGACCGAGCACGGCTTCGCGTCGCGCGTCCGACGCCGCGGACGCGTTCGCGCGGTTCATCACCATCGCGGCGAGGGATAAGTTCGAGGCCAGAAGCGACGATTCGTTGTGCGAACCGCCGCCGCCGAGCGATCCGGCGCTGCCGTGAGAGCCCCACGACCGCGCGCCGAAAGAACCCGCCGCGTCTCGCGGCGACGACGCGAGCTGCCCGGCGATCGAGTCCGTCGACCCGGACGACCCGACCCGGCGCGGCGGCAACGCGTTTGCGTTCGCGTTCGCGTCGGTTGCGGAGGATACCGACGGCCTCGACTTTGGCTTTGGAATTTCCACGCCCCCGCGCGCGACGTCGTCGTGGACTTCAATTTCGAGCTCGCTCGTGGACTCCGGGTCGTTCCATACAAGCGAACGTCGGGGTGGAGTTCAAAGGCGTCAGGTGGAGTTGAAAGGCGTCGTGGGCGGGGATCGAAAGCGAGGGATGGGCGGAGAGACGCGCCGGGAAGTAAAGTCCTTAAGGATCGGCGTTCACCACGCGAACGGGGTCGTATGGGGACCAGTGTATAGAACGCACCTCCAACGCGGGCGCCGCCGGCCGCCGTTGCGCGAAGCTTCCGCCGCGCGAGTGAACACCGCCGTGCATCCCGTGTCCGAAGAGCGGCTGCCCGTTCGGCGCGAACCCCGCCTCTTTCAGCGCCTTCTCCGCGTCCGCCGCCTTCCGCTGATGCGCCTCGAGCGCGTTGTCCCACTGCCCGAGCTTCTCGTACCACCCTTCCTTGATCTCGAGCAATAAGTGCGTCTGCGCGTACACGAGAACGCCCATCGCCGCCTCAGGGAGCTGCAGCTGGTTGTTGATCGCGATGATCGCCTCGACGCACCGCGCCGGGTGCGACACGAACTCGAGCTCCTTGTAGTGGAGCGCTTTCGCGTACGCGCGACAGCGCTCGGCGATCATGCCGAGCGTTCGGATGTCCACCGGCAGCGGCTTCTCGTCGTGCTCGCAAAACTCCGCGAGGTTTAGCAACGTGGTGACAATCTCCGGCGGTATCGTCGGCGACCCGAACGCCGCCTCCAGCGACCGCACGAGCTGCTCGCGCGGCGTCTGCGACAGCTCCGCCCAGCACGACACGAACGACGCGCAGAATAAATCGCGCGCGAGGTGCGGCTGGACTTGCGCGAGGTCGATGCACGCGCGCAACGCGGGCGACGGCGACTGCTTCAGAAGCTCCACGGAGAGGTGCCGCATCCACTCGAGCCAGTCCTCCTTCGTCGAGCGCTGCGACGACTCCCACGCGCGTCGAAGCGCTTGCTCGTTCATCGCGTGCTTGCCCGAGGAGCCCGGCGGGCCGGGCGAGAGCGAAGAGTGGAGGAGAGGGGAATCGCCGTTTCGGAGACTCCCGCCGCGGTGACTGCCGCCGCGGAGCGAATCGCCGCGGTCCCCGCTCGTGCTCCCCCTCCCTCCTCCGTCGCCGCCGCGCCAGTCCGCGTGCGACGCCGCCGGGGAGTCCAGCGACGTCACCGTGGACGCCGCGTTGCTCAGGCGGAACGGCGAGAGCGCGCCTGTCGTCGCGCCGGGGATCGCGATCGCGCCGCCGACGCCGCCGCCGTCCCGCCTCGCGAGCAGCTGCTCGGACAGACGCTCAAACACCGGGTCGCGCATCCCGCGCTTCTTCATCGTTCGCTGCACGAGCGGAAGGAACAACAAAAACTCCTGCTGCAGCGCGGACGCCATCGACGTCAGCGCGAGCAGCGCGTCGCGTCGAAGCTCCTTCTGCGGTCCGTCCAGCACGCGCGTGAGCGGATGCACCACCGCGCTCGCGTGCCCGGCGATCTGCATCCTCGGGAGGAGCGTCGCGAGCGATCTGAGCACCGTGGAACGCACCGCGACGGGAACGGGCGCGACGCCGGGGCGGAACAGCCGCACGAGCGCGGGGAGCATCAGGTGCAGGTGTTCGTCCACCGCGGACCCGAACGCCTCGAGCGCGTGGAGCACGGACGGCACCGCGCTGAAGTCGCCGCCGCGCTCGGCGTCGGCGAGCACGGCGATCATCCGCGGAAGCAAGTCGGGGAGATGCGCTCGAAACTCGTCGTGCAGCGCCGTCGCGAGCTCCTCGCACAGCCGCAACATCTGCCGCAGCAGCGCGTTCGGGCCCCAAAACGCGCGCACGATGGCGAGGATGTCGTCCAGGTACCGTCGCACGTGGCCGCGGATGATCGCGACGAGCGCGGTGAGCTGCGCGAGCATAAACTCCCGCAATCCGTCTTCGCACGTGTACATCACGTGCATCACCACGGGCATCACCGCGGGTAAATACCGCACGCAGTTTAACCCCAGCGCGCGGAAGATGTACATGATCGATCGCACGACCATGTGGTGATGCGATGCCATGGTTTGGTCCTTAAGGACGCGGAGGAGCGCGTTCAGGGCGACGGTCGGGTAGAAGTTATCCGACACCGTGCTGAGGTTCGCGGAGGGAAACAGAGATTCGTCGTCGATCGGGTATCCGCCGCCGGTGCTGCCGACGCCGCCGCCGCCCTTATCCTTCCCAGGCGCGTCCTTGCCCTCTACCGCGCCTTTACCCGCCGGCGCGCCGTCGTCGCCGCGCCCGACGCCGCGCACGCCCTCCATGGACAGCAACCCCTGGCCGTGGAGTTTCTCTTCGTTGTCGCGGTGCGCGTGCGGATCGAGCGCGCCGAGGATGCCCAACGTCCTGATGGTCGTTCATCGGTCAGTTGAAAGGGGACGCGATCAAATATTGAAAGCGGAAAGCGCGGGTGAAGAAAAAGGGCTTCAGAAACGACGCGCGAAACGCGAACGGGGTCGTATGGGGAGCGGTCAGACGCACCTGAGCACCTCGGCGCGCACCGGCCCGGCTTCCTCCGCGAGCACGCGAAGCATGAGCGACAGAAGCGGCGGGTGGTCCCCGTACGGCGCGATCACGTACCCGGTGCTCTCGATGAGCTGACCCATCGTGACGACCGCGACGTCGCGCGTGGACCCGAGCTTGATGCCTTCCACGACGAGGAGAAGCAAGTCCGGGACGAACTGCCGCATGGACGCGCCGCCGACTTGCGCGAGCTCGCCGATGGTGCCGAGCACGGCAGCCTTCTCGCGCACGCTGACGATGTGCGACAGCGCTCTCACAGCGGTCCCCGACGCGTCGGCGAACTTCGGGGCGAGCGCGGAGACGCCGCCGGGCGCGCCGACGGCGCCGCTTCTGGGGTCGCCGTCGGCGGCGGCGGCGGCGGCGAGCGCTGCGTGGGTGAAGCGATCGGTCAGTCGAACGTCTTACCGGTCAAACGTTGAAAGGGAAGCGCGGGTGAAGAGTGACGACGGGAAAAGTCCTTAAGGAACGGCGTGCACCACGCGAACGGGGTCGTATGGGAAGCAGTCTCACCGCCGCCGCCGCCGCCCTGCGCGGTCGCGTCCGGCGGCGGCGCGTTCTCGCCTCCAAGGGCGATGCCGTCGCCGCCGCCCTTGGCCGCGATGCCCTCGCCGCCGTCGACGGTCTGCCCCGCCGCGGCCGCGGCGCCGGCGCCGGCGGCTTCGATCCCGCGCTTCGCGATGCCCGCCGCCTCCGCCGCGGTCGCCGCCGACGCCTTCGCCGCGGCGACCTCCTCCGGCTTCCGCAGCTTCATCATCAGCGTCCGCAGGATGGGCGCGATGTACGGCATCACGAGCCGCGTGCACGATCGCACGAGCGTCGCCATCAACCGCGCGGACTCCTCGCGCAAGTGCGACTCCGTGGAGTGCTCGAGCTCGGTCAGGAGCTGAAGCAGATGCCGTCGAAGCGCGGGCAACGCGTACGCGGGATTCCGCGGCGCGAGTCGACCGACGAGACGAATCGCGAGCAGCCGAACCTCCGCGCTCTCGTCGTTCAGCGTGATGAACAGCGCTCGCAGCGCGTCCGCCTGACCGAGGTGCGAGTCCACGGACGGACACGGGCGCAGAAACGACGCGAGCACGGCTCTTCGAACGTTCGCGTCCAGATCTGATGAGGGTTTTCCATACAAAAATAGTTCATCGGTCAGTTGAAAAGAGACGCGATCAAGTGTTGAAACCGAGCTATGGGTGAAAACTTTTGTTTTGAACGCACCTGACACCGCGACGGCGAGCAATCGCGACATGATGAACTCCTCCGTCCACGCCGACCACCGCGACGGCGCGCCGTTGGTCAGGTGTGATGCATGCGAAACGCTCGAAACGCTCGCGCTGTTGGCGTTAAGCGCCATCAACGCGGCGTCGCCGCCGTGTATCGACGTCCCGA